GTTTTGGTTTTTTTTTTTTTTTAGGCTTTCTTCTATTCATACCCCAGATTTACTAGCCTGTGTCTCTATATCTCTGTGTAAATTATTCGAGTGGCTCAGAGGTGATAGTTTTCTGCTAGGACTTTGGAAAGCTGTTTCTTCTGCACCAATCTGTACTTAAAAGTTGCTAAATACCTGCTAGCTTGTTGAGTGTTTAATACTGGAAGAGTCAATGTTCATCCATCTATTTATAAATTATTCTGGTGTTACAAAACATGCTCCAGGAAAGCCTGTGAGAAAATTGGTACTTCTAAGACCATATTCAAACATGGTGGATTTCAAAAAAGACACAGGGCCTTGCACTGAGCAACAACAAAAAAAGGAAAATGAAATGTCAAATTGCTTCTTGTTAGCTAAGCAAAGCATGCAGTGTGCACCTAGTGCAAGGCAATTTTGGTATGAGGTATTTTGGAAAAAGAGTAATGTGTCACAATGTAATAAAAGGTTTTGTCATCTGTCACATACACTATAAGGCTGAATTAAATTTGTCAAGGAATTGCTGGATTTTCTTTAACTTTTTAATCTTGAGTACAGATTAAGAGGACTCTTTCCCTTGGGTTAGCTAAGGGAAAACAGAGAGCAGCATGTTGCATTAAAGAATGCAGGAGTATGGGGGGAAATTGGATTGATATGAATTACACGGGTGGTGAATTCAATTAGTTTTTCATTTAATTGAGTATATCCATAGTTATGTGTGCTTGCACATTATCAGAAGTCCCAAGTCCCATCTGTTAATTACCTGCATAAAGATGTTCTTTAAATATGGGATTTACGTGAATGACTCCCACTGCAAAGACTCTACAAGAAGTAGCAGGTTAGTTTAAGGAAGGGAAAAGCCATGGTGATTGTCTTGACACAACCTGGGTTTCTACAAGAATTACATCTTTGTATATCTCTCTTCAGTCTAAGTGGAGGAAACCTCATGTATCTGCACTTAAATCATGATAGTAAGTGGATGTCCTTTGTGTTAAGATTCCAAACAGTATACTAAGGATTAAGGCATAAACTCTTAATGAGTTACAACTGAAAAAAACCCAAATAGAATCAAAGGTAAAAGCTACTTTCCAAGTTTACTACCCAAACACTGTTTTTTAACTGTTCTGTTGCTTATCTTTGTACAGGACTACAGGATTGTATCCTGATGCTTCCAGATTTGGAATTTTCTTTGCTGTTGTCCTGGCATCTCACATGATTGGTGAACTACTAACGCTTGTTATACTTGGCATGGTTCAAGACCCAAATATAGTCCAAAGTGGCGTGGTGCTACTTAATTCAGCTGGTGTGATAGTGGGAACGGGACTAGTAAGGTAGGAAAAAATCTTACTTTATTACACTGTTGATATGATACAATTGTGGAAATGTTTCTAGAACAGTTGCTATTGCAGAAATCCAGTAATGCACAGGTAGCAATGGAAAGCAATGGGAAGCAGCTGTGCTCCTTCAGAGGCAGAACTGCCTAATCTTGTTGGGCCTTGTACTAAACACAAAAACAGACACTTAATACCTCTAGGTATCAACAAAGATATTGAAGATTTTCCCCAGTTTTTGCAAATACATTGAAGACAAAACAGAGCAATTAATATCTATCAGCTCATCCAAATTCTTTTACTGATGCTGACATGATGATGTGAAATGCTGTCATTAAAGGAGCCTACCAAAAATCCCTGTTCCTACAGCTTTTAGTAACTGTTGGAATTTATCAGACATCAAACATCGGTAATGCTGGTTTAAAAAAGCAGTTGCTATCAACTGTCTTACTAGTATTATTATCCAGTTTAGCTAGTAAATTTTTCAGTTGCACTTTTTACCTGTACAGACTGAAATCTATAAAAAATTATTAAATAGTATAGTAAATATGCTGGAAGATTGTGATCCACTTGCTCTATTACTGTGCAGATAAATGGTTTTGCATTTTAATTGTGTGAAGTTTGAATAGTTTTCCCCTTGTATTGTCAATACTGAAGTTACTGGGTTTTTTGAGGAACATACCAGAATAAACGTGTAATTGTTAAAAGCAGTTTTCCTAAGATGTTGAGCAAGTAGGATGTGCTTACCCGAGAGAGACCCTCCCAATGAAAATGAAGTACGCCTAACAACAGATGGTGTTGTCCTCAAGAAAACCATCTGAATCTTCACAAAGTTGATTATGCTTTGTCTCTTTAAAGTAGATCTCAGTTCATACTTATGATATAAAGCTAGGTTAATGTCCAATTATTTGGTTCCTACCTAATTTCAGAAAGATGTGTCTTTATAGTGACAAGACATTTATTCCTGCTATTGTAGTCTAATGCCTTAATGATAACTTAAAAGCATTAAAGTGGTTTCTAACCTTATTTTACAGCACAGACATTGCTCATTAATATTATTAATCTTTTTGATTAATCTTCATAAGCAATGATGGACATTAAAAACAGCATTGAGACTTAGGTTGCTGGGGGTTTTTTCCTGTTAATTTTCTTGTGTTGTTGAATTAAAAGTATTGAAGTATTTTAGATGCTGAAATTTCCTGAAATTGAATTGAAGTTGAATGTTTCTTCTCATTATTTTTGCTTCATTTTTGCTTTATTATTGTCAATGAATTGTTATTCAATCTTACTTGGTTTTGAAGATGGAGGGAGGGGTGGTTTCTTACTTTGAAAACAACACATTTTAGCAAGTAAGGTTTATATTGGGTCTTGTCATTTTCAGTTTATCACTGCCATGTGAACAGCAAACAACCATAGAATTCTTTGTGACTGTCCATAAACAAGTCAGGGCTGAATGTTGTGACACTGTACCAAAGGCAGGGACAGCCTTCATGGTTGTCTCATCACTTAGCCCTAAAATTGGACTTTATGTTTGAAAACCCTACAGGTAGAGGCAGGAACTGTTTCTCTAACAGGTTACAAACAACGAGAATTTGTTTTAATTTGGGAGCTCTTAGTATGTAGCAAAAGCCAGCTTAACTTCTCTGTTTTTTAAGGACCATTGAAGAAATGCCAACACCTTTCAAACTACTCAGTTTTCTTACGTTTCAAAAATACAGCAGTGAAGTTCTTGTAGTTAATGAATTTTATGGCTTAAACTTCACATGTGGTGAGTGTTCAAAAAAAGTCCACTGTAAATAATTTTAATGAGATGTTGATGCTGGTTTTCCTTCTGTGTACATGTATGCTGATAAAATAAAGGTAACTTCTGAGTTGCTAAAAAGAACTTGCTAATTAGTAAAGACTATAATGCCACATCAGCAAGCTCGAGCAGACTTTGATTGTTTTGTTCCAACCATTTCTCATTCTTGCAGTTCTTCATCTTTCTCTTTTTCACCTGTTCTCTTATCCCCTCTTTGGAGGAATTTTGGAAGCTAAGTTTATTACTTTATTATTTTATTTTATTATATTTATTTGATTATATATATTATATTTATTATTTTTATTTTTATTATTATTATTATTATTATTATTATTATTATTATTATTATTATTATTATTATTATTATTATTATAATATTATTATTTCGAGCAATGTTACACAAATAGAGCATCAAGAGAATTGCACAATCTAAGATCAAACATCAGTGGAAGGAATATTGAGAGGTAACAAACAGCTGACAAGGTAGCTCTTCTAATACTAGAGAGGCTTCAGTTCAAATGTGTTTTCATGGTATTTATCAAGCAGCTTGGGTCTCTCAGGCTGTGCTTTGGTGGCTGTGAACAAGATAACTTGCAAAACAAGAGAATCAATCAGGGTGGCAGGGTTAGTAGCTAATACACACTAGTGGGGTAAAAATTACAGCTTTGGACCTACCCTAAGATATTTGGGGTGTTGTAGCCAGGTGTCTGTGTTCCTCTCCAAGGCTACATATTTTTTATCTAATAATCTCTCCTGCACCTCTTTATTACAAGATCAACAACTGTTAGAAAATGAATCCATGACACTATTAGTACCGATGGAACACCTCATTTTTAATGTGTCCTTCAGACAGTCACCATTTCTCGCATTTTGGAACCCTCAACACATACGAACACCGCAAGTCTAACTACTTGGGGCAATTTGCTTCTTGATGCTGGTCCAGATATGTGTCTAAAAAGCCATAAATCTTTGTTTGGCATGAACCAAAGAGAGAGCTCTTAGTGACCCTTTGTCCTTCTCTTCAAAAAAATGCCATGGATTAACCACAGAAACATAGGGCTTGTCTGGTTTTATTCCACAGTGGTGAGAAATACTCCTGTGGGTATGGTTCTTCATGGAAGTGATATAAGGAAGAGCTGTATTCAAGACATGAGCTAGAGACTGGAGTCTTAATTTTACTGATTTACCTACTAAAGAAATTGTTTATTTCTTTTGACAGATGGAGCCAACAGTTCCACTGCAAATAACGCCGCGTGTGTTTTCTCCCAAGGCATCCGGTTCATTGAAAAGAACTACCCTGGGGCATTGTCCCGGTTCACAGTGGATTTTCTCATACTCTATGCTTTTATACCAGTACTTGCCATTATTGCAATTCTAAGCTTCAAATTAAGGGAGAGAATTATTGACAGACAATGAAAAAGTAGCAATTCCAATAGTCTCTAATACTAGTATCTTTATTATGGTCAAAGGCTTATATTGTTGGACTTTAGATAAAATTTAAATGATTGCACATATAAAAGCACATTCATCTTCTCATGTTTGGTTTCATCTTGACAACCAGTGTTGTCTTAGGAGTTTGAATGAGTCATGATTTTGGTATACCCCACCCCTCTTCTCTGGCTGATTTCCAGATCAGCCATAATCAACAGTATTTTGTGTCTTAAAGGGCTTTCTGATGGTGCTCTATTTTTTTTCCCCACTATTTTGTTTTTTAACCACTACTAATAAGCAAAGGGGTCCAACTGCTAGTAAATCTCATTTCTAGAACTATATTTTCGGTCTTATGCCTTGTTTTGATATCATTTGAAGAATCTGTAGAAAGGAAACAACCAAATACATGTAAAGACAGAATCTAGAAATCACTCCACTTTAATCTTATACACGCTATACAACTGATGAGTACAGGATCTTGAAGAAGTATCAAAAATCAAAGTTACCCAACTTGTTTTTGCCTTGTAAATGATGGTAAATCAGTAAAGACAGGTTATTTATATCAATTATTTCTTTTCACTGTCAAGTTTGAATCTTGTTTTGGAAGCAGTTTATGACTTACTCGGAAAAAAGAAATGTTTGTTTAATAATGTTTTGGTTTTATTTAATAAAATGTCAATTTAACTAGGGAAAAAGTATAGAAGTTGTTTGTCAGAAGCAATGTCATTTTCGTCTTGGAAATTATTCTCACGGGCCTTTCAAAAACATAACAGACTCAGAATTTCTAAATTTTGTCTCTTATTTTCATGTTCTGTGAAGAAATTAGTTTTTGCAGAGATAGATTTCTCCAAGGAGGTAAGTATATTTGTATCTTAAAATTCTGTAATTATATAACTGGTTTTATATAATAGTTTTGAGATGAGGCAGTTCATAACAAAGAACTTTAAATCCAATCCTCAAGGTAACACAGGATTTCCACTTAAGTGTATTTTTCTCATATCTTTATGTAAAATATTCTGAGATATGTTATCAGAAAAACATCTGGTGAACAAATATGTTAAAAATAACAAATAGCTCTAAATAGCTAGCAAGATACCAGATTAGTCTGTCTCTCCCATTTTTATGAGCATGTAGGGTTGATGTGGTTTGCCAGGTGACTATGCAGACATTCACTCTCTGACAAGTTCGAGCTCTCAGGAGACATTTCTGGCTTTAATCTGGATTATTTTGTGTATTCTCAGAACACTCACTGCATCTCACACTAGTGAGGTGTGCATGGACAAAAACCCATTCCTAGTTTAGGCTGAATGTGAATCAATAATATTCTCAGCACTAACCAAGTATCTGTCAAATTAATTAGACTAATTTCCTATAATTTGAATATGTGACAGAAATATCCATCTTCTAAACTCTGGGTGACATTATACAAGTCCTATATTAAACTATGGTTCTGTGATAGAAAGCACACTTTTAAATTCAGGTCAAAGGTGGTTTTAACTCCACTTTATTCTGCCTGTTTTATTTATTTATTAAAATATATCAAACAATTATGCAAATATTTCTTAAGTTTTGATTTTGAACTATAAAAAGATGCCTAAAACACTATGCAATTTCATATTTTGGGTATGAAAACTTGTTTATACTTAAATATATGCTTAAGGTAGAAGTATTCAAAAGTAAATCAAATAATGTGTTATAAAATAAGTAGAACTGACTAATGCTAGTCTTCAGATACAAACCCATCTGAGAGCAATCTAGAATTCTTTTCTCCCCAGTTTTTAAACCTCTTTGCCAGTGCCAAGATAAACAAATTTGGTCTGAGTGAATTAACAGCTCCTTTTATGAAAAATAAAAACAGGGATGCTTAATAAATACTAACTTCATAGTTTGGTATTACATATTTTCAACTGCATCAGATGAAATTTATAATGTAATGTAAAAACAATAAAAGTAATTTTGTAAAAGGTGTTATACTTAGAACAGTTCATCAATCAGAGTCAAAATCCATTTCTTTCCAGGATTTAGAGGCATTTCTTTTGTATTGTTCAAGTTCCTAAAAAAGAAACATAAATACATATTAAGCTAATTTTCTCATTACTCAAAGTCTCCAGAAACTTCACATATTTATTTGCAAATGTAGGTATGTACAAACACTTTTCACTGTAGAAAAAATGTTCTATATTTTTATATTTAACAAAATTATCCTAAAAGTGCTACGAATTTTGACACATTTGCTGTCATGTAGGGAGCTACATTTTGCTGTACTTTAGATCAGTAGAGTGCTAGCAAGGTATACAAATTACCTCATCTCAGTCAACTGGGATCACTGAATCCTATAATAGAATGTTCTAGCACCATTACAAACACTTTCCTCCGCCGAATTTTATGCAGAGGTGTGTACTATCAGGAGTAATTTCTAAAGATTTTTTTTCAGCAAAAAATAATAATTTAGGAAGCATTATGATGGCTTTTCATTTATTTCAGAGTAAGACTTCCAGCAAATTTACAGGAAGATGATGCTGCAATGAAGTACTCTTAGACCTAACCCTGTACTGCTTTCAGGGTAAAAAACTCACCATATCTTAATTAGATCAGGAAAGAGGCGGACATAAACAAGTGCTTAGGATAAATGTAGCAAAGACCTTCAAAAGTGGATATGTGTTTTACAGTTCTTATCTTGATTTTAATGGAATGGACTTCAGAGAGTAAGAGAGATTTTGCTGTAGGCATTCAAGTATGAGCATGAAAAGAATAACGAAATTCACACCTGGTGATTTTAACAGAAGTATTAACTATCAGTCCAGAGCGCAGAGGGAAGAAGAAGAAATTAAAGGACAGAACAATAAAGCAATCATCATTTTAAAATTGTATGGAAATAATAGATGGAATTTTCTCTCAGGAAGTAACTTCAGCAGCTTTGTCAGAGGTGCAAAGTTTTCAGAAAACACCCCAGCTGTATGAGCAGAGAGATTTTTAGTTTGTGCAATTATTCTTGATACTTGTACGAGTCTGGTAGTAGGGTTAAGTAACTCCATGGGTGACTGACACAGAACATATTTTGTCTAGGCTAAAGCCAGAAAGTTGCATTATTAGCTACAACTCCAGTACTATTGAACTGTTCTATCTCTATGCTGGTCTTTATTCAGTATTTTCACTCCCTCATTATTAATATAAAGTAATTATGATCTTGGAACATACTGAACTATTGGAAACTTGCCAACAGTTAGGAATAGAAAGAATGCTGTGGTATTTTAAGGAGCACATAGAACCTGTGTTATGCTAAGTAATTTAATTTAAAAACTTTCTCAAAGGCTTCAGGAAGGGGTAAAATTAGATAGCCGGGTAATGACAATACCGTCTGGCGGTCATGTCTACAGGTGTTGGCTAAATAATTACCCTTACAGATTTATCATCTGACTAAACTCCTTCAAGAAAGAGGCAGATAATTTAGCAGAATTAATTTTGCTGTAAGTTTAGCTAGCCTAGAAGGCAATTCACTGTAAAGGCAACTCAAAACAATACACACATGCAAAATGTCAAATCACAGCATATATTACACCTGTATAGCTACTCCACTACATACAGAAGTACAGAACAAAATTAAAAGTATTTATTTCGGGCATGTGTCTAGGTAAGGCTAAACATTAACATGTATCTAGGTAAAGCTAAACATTTAAACAATGAGAAGTGAAAAAGAAAAAAATATTAAATGGGAGGATATTTAGAAAAAAATAATCTTTTAACAAATATCAGTGATTCAGGGGGAAAAACGTTGTCAGCAAAGTACAAGTACCTAGTTTCTATGCAACATAGAAAGCAAAATACATCCCCATAAGTCATAAATGAAGTGAAAAGTTCTTTAAAACACTGCATACGCATCACTCCAGAGACCCTCTTGGAAAAGGGCCCCTTTCTGCTCATTAGGTTCTACATTGCAAACATGAGTAGAATTGGAGAATAGACAGATGATACAGTCAGCTAAGAGATCATCTCTCCAAAGTGAAAGAAGATCCTACAAAAGAATATATCTCAAAGTACACCAAAATCTTCATGCTAGCATTATGCTATGCTTGTTTTGTGGGTGCAAGTGTAGGGGGAAGAGATCAGATATACAAAGAAAAAATAATTGCAATTTAAATGTGCTTTCAATGAGCTCTGAGTGCTTTAAATGTAATTAGTGCTAGCAGCTTATCACAGATGTCTCAACATTGGCATAAAGTGGGCTTAATTTTTTTTTTTTAAACCTTAATGCTTCTGTAGTTCCGTGTTTCTGTAAATTCTTCATCTGTCAAATGGGGAAGATCACACCTAATCTCATAAAGGGATTTGGAAGAAAGACTTAACTGATGTTTGTGAGGCACTCAGATAAGATAACATTACCACACACTCTCAGAGAAAAAAAATTAATACTTTTGTGTTCATTGAAGTGTCTGAATGGCAGGTTGAAAAATAAGGTACATAAAGAATAAGGATAATAAAAAGAAATACTGAGCAATTGAATTGAGACATCAGCAAAATAGTATATGATCATGTAATTAAAGACAATACTACAATGTCTACAAACAAGAAGGAAAAATTAAGATTGTAGGAAAAGCCTTAATTGTTGTATTTCCTCTGTTCTGAGTGACTGATATGGTTTCAACTTTCCTTTTCATGCAATTTCTTACTGGAAGTGCCCTCAATCTGGAACATGGTGAAAGGAACCAAGTACTGAAACATTAATTAAAAGTCTTAAGCACACAAACTTTAGTAGAAAATTTAATAACAGTGCTAATAATGTGCTCTAATAATGGTTTTTAATTTGGTTTTAAAATGAAATCTTTTTTTACCCATTTGGATATGCCTTAATGTGAAAACAAGAAAGCTTGTTCTTGGCAGCTGAGTAAATATCCTAAATAACTTTTTCTTTTATGAAGACTAGCACATGTCCTCCTGTGGAGAAAATGAAAGGTGGTACTGCTCTGTAATGCAGGTTAAGGTAGGGGCCTGTTACATTTCTCTGCCCAGTAACACTGGTATTACCAACGGTTCACGGCACAGCATGAAATCTTCTGTTTTGTGGAAAGAGACTGAAATGGTCTCCTGAAATTCAGCAGCATGTTCACATCAGCTAAGTATGCTGAAAAACTATGGCTCTTGGTCTGTTGGCCAACAGTCCCCATGTCAGCTGCAGATCTGACACGGAAACGATACTTGGTTTTGAGTGCCATGGTTGATTAGGTTGCTGCAATCTTAGGGGAAATGCAACTATTCTTCCTTGTGAGATATAGTATCTTCTTGTGTTTATGACTTTTTAAAGTCTTAACAGTTACCCCTCTGTTAAGATCTGCTTCCATGACTTGTTAGCTGACTCCAAATGGCACCAGGCATCTACTTCTTACTTCATGGCATGAGGCTTCAGCAAGAACTGGCACCAAACCCCTGAAGTAATAGCTCTGTGTAATAGGAGTCAGTGTGAACTTTGGCTCTGCATGACTTCTGAATCAACCTAGTAGGAGGTGCTCTGGTTCTTTGAGCTCAAGGTTGAGCTTTATCTGTTGCATCAATGAATGAAGCTACAGTCAAATGTCCAGATCAAAAGGTCCAAGCACCTATTTTGGGTATTAGCAGTAAAGGCTTAACAGGAAATAAAGAAAAACCTTCAAAAAGACACCTTAGAGTACTTACATCTGTGGCAGAGAGCATTTCTAAAGGAAAGAGAACAGACATTCCTATGTGCCAGGCTCTTACAGCCACAAATATTTAGAAGGAGCTAAGGAACAAGACTTCCATGCTCTGCATAGGTGCTCACAGATGCAGATGTATATATGTACCTCTAATCAGAAATCATATTTTAAAATATTTAATTCTTATTCAAGTTATGTGTGTACCATATTAAGTACCAAATTAACCAAATTAAGGTGACCTGAAAGCATCAAAAGACAAAAAAGCTAACAGGGAATGGATAGAGGATGACAAGATTTCCATGTGGTTTATGTATGAAGAATGAAACAAAACCTAGACATTTAAGGCCTAATAGCTATGCAGAATGACTATTTTTTTGAATCTTGAAAGCCCTGCAAAAAAAACCAAAATTCCAGTAATTCCTGGAGAAAATCTGCTAGTTAAGAATTACATGAGAAATACGAATTTCAAAAGGGTCCCTGGTGCTGTATTCTCTCTCAGAGAGAGAGTAGCTAAACTACAGGGAATGGAAAGCAGTAAACAATTGCAACAGCACTATTTGATATAAATCTGTGCTATGTATGTCTGTGGGGCAAGAACTAGGAAAAGAATTCTGAAAAGACATAGTTGAGAAAGAGATGTGCTCCATCTTGAAGAAAGGCACAGTGAGGAAGACAGCCTAAGAGAGCTTTCCAGAGCAAAAATGTTTAGAAAGAAAGTGATACATCTCATAGTTAACTCTGAAAATATTAAAGAGGCAAAATAATCTGGTCTAAAAGAAAACAGTTATGTCAGAATGCTGATGACCTGAACTCTAAACTTCTACAGACAAACAGCATCTCAGGTAAATGCTGACAGTACCTTGGAATCAGCCAGGGACTTCCTTGATTTTTTAACTGTTTCTTTATTTTATACTCATGACTTAAAATTCAATCATTTACTCTGCTAGAATGCAGGCAAATCCTTCAATCAAAATTACAAAGTTGGAAATGATTTATTTAAACTTTGTATTGCCACAGTTATCTCTATATTGCAGTATTATCGAGCAGTCCTGACCAAGATTGACTCAGTCAGGTATTGCTGGTTCTTCTATCAGATGCAGTGATGACGGGCTGTTTTTTGCTTTCCTTGCTGGTTTTGTGCTTTTTTTTTCTTTTAAAGCTTATCTTTGAGATAAAAAAGCAAATAAGCTATCACCTGGAGTCCAAAGTAACATTAATTAACCGAAAGTAACCGAGAAAAATGATAACATGAAAACATTCCCTGTCATCACATGATAATTTTAATTTTGCATTAGGTCCCATGATTTCATCAGCAACACATTGCATATTGAACATCTTAATATACTGGTTCTCATACACAACAGATGCCATGAGACTCTATAGAGAATGTCATGACACATGATGAATTTAAAAAGTTGCTTTAAAAATATGATTTTTATGCTGCTTTCCATTGAACTGGAAAACAGAAGAACACTGCAACTAGGGAGTGCTTTTCTTTTAGATGTATATTTCTAGCTTGGTGCATTTCAAATTCCTGTTATAAAACATTTTAATAATGTGAAAAATAATCTTGTAAAAATTAAACTTTGTGATAAAAACTTAGGAAATAACTGCAGATAACAAAAGTAATTTTCTCTGTAATGATCAAATTACTTGTAGTAGTCCAACAAAAAGAAGCTATAAAGGTTTGCAATGCCCTTGAACAGATTAGGATTCTAAAAGTCTGTCTCTTTTGTTTAAAAACAGAAAATTAATAATTTCCTGTATGATTTAATCAATACATACCAGTATCTGCTTTTGCAACGTATTATTATGTAAAAATAACAAACCTAGTACGCTATATAGTTATTTTGAGATATGGAGCTATTCTGAGTATGTATTATAAATTCCAAAAGCAGTGTGCTTACAAATTTTAGTGATTTCTAAGACTGCTCCTGATGTGACAGAAATTCAGAACTGATACCTACATTAACAAGATATTGCAGGTAATGTGCAAGTTCAAAGGCTGCAGGGGATTTCTGAAACTTCTTTATTCTTTGGATAAATCTTGCTTTGATTTTAACAGACCCATACCTATGATACTGATGAAAACTGTTATATACAGTACTGCTACTCAGCTGATGTTATATACTGATATCTGTAAGGCAATCTTTTAACCTTCATCTTGTTTGCCACAGAATTTTTCCATAAAATTAATTCCCCACTAATTTAGAGAAAGACAGAAACTATTCAAAATTAATAAGAAAAAATAGAAGACTCTTTTCCCACTAAAAGCCTTTTCTAGAATTCAGGGATTAAGTCACATTATCATCACTGTGGAATAATTCCATTCACTCTGTTTAAGATAAAATGTCTGTAACCTGCAAATTCAAGGTAGAAATGTTATCAACTCAGTATTTTTCCAGTTTAAATAAGTTTTGAAGGAGAAAGAATAGTCCCCACCACAGACCTTGATACTGCTTCCTACACTTTGTGTTAGTCCACATTTAGATGAGAGTACTCTCATCTGAATGGGTGAAGAAATGAGGAAATGATTATCAAGAAAGCTTCAAAGTTCATTTTAGTGAGTTTATGCTAGAGAATAGTTTGAGGGAAAATTTGAATTATTAATTTCTAAAGAAATTCAGAGCCAAAACTTTGAGATCTAACAATGGTCTACGGACTTAGTAGCTTTACAACGGGAAAAAAACCTCACTACTAACTACTAAACTGGAATCTAAGGCTGAAATTATTTAGGGGCAAAAAGGGGAGGTATGAGTATATGCTATTAGTTCAACAGTACTGGTGATTCTGGAATACCTGACTGTGAACAGCATTTGGAGAATTACCACACACCTGGTTTTTCTGAGCTCTCATGACATCAACTTCATACTCAGTGTACTGATTATCCTGTGCAGGGTCCTTGGTATCTTGTAAATCACAGAAACTCTAAAAAAAGAAAAAACAAAATCCCAAATGATGGAATTTTTATTATTTTAATAAGAAAAAGCCACACCATAGAAGTGAAAATACTTGTTTTTAATAAAAATATATTAAAAGCTTTCATTTATAGAATAATTTTGTGCTACAGGACACAGATTAGTTAAAAGAAAAAAAAAAAAGCTGTTCTATTAGTAAAATGAAGAAAAAGTAATAGTGCGGCTAGATGCTAAAGAACATAAAATATTATCTGGTGGTTGGTTATTATTCTTGAGCATCAAAATGAAAATATCGTTTCTGGTCCATGATGTTAGGGCACAGTTGAGGTTGTCCCCACTAAACCATTTAATACTCGTGACCAGAATTCAGTCCTGGTTATCAGAAGCTGAGAAATAGCTGAGATTGTGATATTGTGATTGTGATATAATAACTGATTGCTACCTGTGCCAAATATCTGATTTTTCATTTCCTAGCCTTGAACAAAATAAAATTTGAATTCCAAAGAAGCAAAAACACTAATAGTAAGAAAAACTATCAAATGAGGAGGGTTTTTTTAAATATTGTCCCACACATTTCTCCTTAATCATATCAAATGGAAGTATCAAGAAGGCAATAATACCAGTGATGGAATAAAATAAAGCAGAATTCTACTTCTTAAGTGAGGCAATGGAGAAAGAAGTTTACAATGCATAAAAATAGCTTTAAAGTTTAAAGCCTGCTGTGGAACCAAAACAGGAGACTGTGAATCTATTTGGCAAATGTTTAAATCTTTAATTAGACTGACAGACATATGAACAGCGATGGAGTTTGCAAGATGAGAAGTGTATTAATTTCTCCATCTGTTTCAGGGGGAGTTCAGGGGGTACTTGAAGGGGTGAGTGCAGGGGCAAACATTTGCTTACTGTGTTTTTAAAGGCTATGAGGAAAACTAACATGAAAAATAACATTCCTGTGTAGTTTCTGAAAAGTTTAGTCTTTATCATGTTGGGGCATTTTATACTGAGAACAGCATCTTTCATGATTTCTAAATGTAGGAAGGCAACTGAAGATGTAGAAGAACTACTACATACAAGTCTTTATATTTAAAAAATGTATTAAAGAGAACTGCTAAGTGAGACTGCAATTCCAGACAGTGGACTTGAAACAAAAAGGAGCAGGGATATTGCTGCTATTCTGTGAGAAAAGCAGCTGTGTGCATGGCATGTATATCCCTACCTTGGGAGGAAATGTTTTCTCAAATACTTTTTTCCATAGTTCCAAAGGCGTGTTGGCATGCATCTTTCCAAGATCACTGTCAGAGGCAGGTGGTGGTCCTGAGGATCACAGCACACATAGGACAAGTTGTTGTCATAACAACATAAATCACAGAGTAATTTTGCATAATGATACATCTAATTTAGTATTTTACTTTCTACACTGACAAGCTGCAAAAAGTTTGAAAAAAAATTGATCTCCTACCATGAAATGCGCTGAGAGGTTTTGTATATTTTGTTTTCTTTCAGGTCTAAGCTTATTGGTACTTTACTGTTTTACATAGTCCAGAGACTTTAATAAACTACCTAACAAACCTGCACAAATAATCCTTCGTAATATTCTGAGAATATATATAACCATAATTCTAAAATCTATAAGCTATTTCCTTTAATAATCTGTTGATACTGATGTGCTCTAATTTATCTATTTGCTTAAAATGTTTTTCTTGTTTTCAAAATAATTAAGCAACAATGAACAAGAAATATTCTAACCTATTTGGCTCATGGAATCCAGGCCTGCTGGTATAAAGAGAGGTTTGCTGGGATCCACTGATACAGACTTGCTAAACAGAAAAAAAAGAAAATTTATCAAGTAAGCAATTAGCAATCAACAAAAATCAATATTATTGTAGCCAAGACTAAAGTCTTACTGGAGTTTGCATATAAATACATGCAAATAAAATAGTACTCAATTCCATTGGTAATCACGTTTTTTCATTCATCGGTTTGAGTTATCACTCAGCTCAGTGATAACTCAAGAGTTATCACTGTCCTTAGCAGAGACAGGCAGTTGAGTCACCGGAGTCCATGAACAAAAATCTTTCAGAGATAATATTTAAGGAAAAAAAAAAGTTTTCATTATTAAAATATTTTTATTAAATAATTTTAGGCTCTGAGCAAGATATTTAATAGTTAACAGTAATGTTACCTTTTATCATAGCCAAATGCCAAATGATTAATAAGTGCACGGGCTTTCAGCAGGAGAGCCTCAGATTTACTGGTAAACTAAATGAATCAGAAAACATAATATACATTATGAACTTCCATCATAGATACATTGCATTTTTACATCTACAAAGATGATAGAGCCTTGCTAATTAATACCTGACTCAAATAAATTTGGTATATGTTCACTGAATTGACTAGAATTAAATCTCACATTCCCTTTCAAAAATATAAATGTATTTTTACTGAATATATAGGTCAAGAAAGGTTAAAAAGTAGCATAAAACTGATTAAAAACTTTTGAAATATGTGCAAGACAATGTTTTTGCCCAAAACTAATGAGTTAAGATTTTAAATTACCTTAAAAAATAACCAGAATACCACAAACATTTAGAAATGTAATAAATAACAATATAATTGTAATAAAACCAGCTTAAAAATGGCAAAACAGCACAGATTTATCAGCAAGCAGCTCTCAGAATATATTCTCAAACAACATGCTTTTTCCTGTCTAAGGGTTTTTGTATCCTAATAGATTCATGTCTTTGAAAAAGAAGTCAGATCCCTGCTGTGGGAAATTAAGTTTCTCCCTCTCATTTCAATGACAATGAGGATTTAGCAGACAGAGAGTTTTATATTCTAGTTGTAATTTTTAATTACAATAATGCTTAAATACTAAAAAAAACCCCAGCCAAGGCCGTTGTACTCTCAGTTAACACAAGACAAATTCATGTGTCAAAGTGAAATAGCTTTACATGGAAAAGGACATGCTGGGATTATAAGTATTCAAAGTACACATAAGTTGTTTTGATAATCACTAAGCTAATATTATTTATTACATAAATAATGGTTGATACAATTAGATCTATCTTCTGATGCACAGTGAGCCTAAGGGGCAGTGTTTTTGGACTGTTTCAGGACGACCTGAAAAACTAGAATAAATACTTAATTGTCCTCATGTTGGCATCTTTCTACCCAATTCTGTAAGGAAGCTCCTTTCCTTCTTCAACACCCTAGTAGTTGTATAAAGTGTAGTAATCTGGTATACAAAAACTACTCTGAAAAGGAGTCCTTGAATCACTTGATGTAAGTTCATGCTTCTACCAAAAGGGCCAGTTCTTTAATTCAATCTAAGGCAATCACTTTTTCCCATTTTCCCTTTTTGTACCAAAAAAAAAATTGCCCGAGATACAGTAAACTCAATGCAGGAACTATGCTGGCTAACAGGTAACTATTTTCATTTTGGTTTTGCTGACACTGGGAATTGTGTAGTTTGTTTGTTCACAAGGCATGTCCATCCAGTCATGCCCTGCCAGTACAGTGACTTCTTCAACAGATATAGCCCCATGAAGAAAGTTACTGTTAAACCAATCCCATTTTCTCTAGGAATTTTACTGTACTATTTAAAAAAAATATTGTTTTCTAACAGAGATATTATCTTCTCTATCCTTAAATAGAAAGTGAATATACACACCACTAATGATGCTCCATAATAATGTGAAACAAATCGAAGTGTCTTGCTTATTATTTTTCTCATTTCAGAGTCTAACTCCTGAAAAAGTCGATAGTGAAACATAGATGTAAGAAACAAAACCAAAAGTACTACAGTTAGAACTTTTCTTTTTTTATATAAACTGCAAAGCACTTAAGCTACAATATATAAGGCTTTCAGCTGTCAGCATAATTACATCTTAAGACAGAATCAGTAACAGCCTACTCTGAAAAGAAATGTCACAATTTCTCTTTGTTTCTTTTTTACAGATGGAGCCCAATTCAGGCAATATGTTAGTCCAGGAAAAGTTTTTAAATTGAGAATGTACATTTAATTTTCATTTTATTTGTTTGATATTGTTTTAATTTTTTTTCCGGTAGAAATGCAGCCTACTAGAAGAATAAGGATTTTTTTTCTTTTTGTGAAAATATTTAAGTAAATCTTTGGGTATACACTGTCTATATTGTAATACCTGCAAGATTTGAAAGGTGCATCAAAATACCTTTTCATCAATGTCTTTTTAAATTCTAAGATCACACAGATGGCTTTCCCTGGATAAAATGGATGAAAACTTGGTCTCAGTGACACCTGCAGAAGGCAACCATAGACCCCCAAAGAAATCATGTTGGCATTTTGTCCTTATTACATGACAGTCATTTAAGGAGGTCATGGCTCAGCATAAAGCTTTGGTATGAGAGAAGGCAAGTCCCTTTATTAATAAAGAATTCAGTAACTCAGAGAGTCAGCCAGGTATCAAGTGCACTGTGTAGCCATCCAGAGAAGCACAGGCTGCCAGTAAGACTGCTAAAAATCAAACATATGTTCGATACTATGACATTTCTTTCCTCCCCTCCATAAAAGGTGTAATTACTCACTTGTCTATGGAGACTTAGGAAGTACTTTAAAAGAAGTTTACTTCTTTTTACAGACTGAAGCTGCCACAACTACCAAAAAAGTCTGATCAGCTGACTTGAGATACAACGCTCTTTCACTGCCATAAACTTACAGCTGCTGTCACAGGGAACATGTGGATTTCTCTCATTATAAAAGGAAATCATCCACATGGTGTTTTCTTGCTTCCCTTTTTGGTCTGCAGTGTCTCAACAATTTCTAAGTACATCTCAAAAAAATCATCAGTTTGGGGGTGTTTTGTGAAGGAATGACAGTAGGCCTTCCTTAATGCTGTTGGATGGAAGGATTTATTTTTTTTTGTGGTAGATCCACACTTAAGTTCAAAAGATTACTATTATATTAGTGAAATTTTAATATATAGAATATTTACTGGGAATAATTCAATTATTCCAAATGTACTTAAGTATTACTTACATGAAAAATATCATATTTGCTTCCAATTATCACCAAGGGTATTGGAAAAGGGTCAACTAATGCATAGTCCTGTTAAAAAGATATAGGACAGTTAAGTTCTGTAAACAAACTGTAGAACATTGCAACTGTTAAAGCAACTGAAAAGGGTTAAAATTAATTCACAGAAGACAAGGTTTTCCAAACCTTAAAGTAGAGGAATCAACTTTATTGCACTATCCATATAATATTCTACCATTTTCCCATTTTCTTCCTAAATGGTGAGGAAATAATCCCTCTGAGCAGTCAGAAGACTTACTGGTGTAAAAGGGCTTTTACACTCTATATTGCATTATTAGATGGGAAAGGAAGAGAGGGAAAAACCTCAGGTATTCACAGAACACCTCCCAGGCTGGATTAGTAGAACTGAATTTTTGACACATTCACCTTCCTTGGATAAAATCTAGAATAATACAGACAAAATCTCAAGAAAAATAATTATTTGTTTCTGTCACACATTTGTCCTCCCCACATCATGTTTTCCAAACACTTAATATTTAATGTGAATTTTAAATTTTTGATATCAGCACAAAGAGGAAACATCATCCAACAGTTTTGAAAATGTGAATCAGTATCAATGGTGGAAAACAGGTCTGACAGTGCAGACTTAAGTGCTAAATAGCTAATGTGGGATAAAAATTTTAATAAGTGAATTACAAGACTTTTCAAGTGATCTGGAAAGGTTTGCTGTAGTCCATATGAAATGAAATAATCCCCTCGTGTTCAAGCAATTGTTTATTCAAGCTGCTTTGGCTGCAGCAGTGCAAGAAAGATGTGTTGTAGCAGAGGTTGGTCCAACTGCTCCCTCTAACCCCAGGGATTTCACAGACAGGTTAAATGACAGAACATTGACAGAAGCTGCACATACTGAAAATCATCTACTTGGAGAGGAGAAATAATGGCTGCACTCATACACTGTCAAAGCAAAACCTTTGAACAAAACTATCACAACTTAAAAACTAGTATACAGAATATAAAACTAAGAAAATAGTTTTCATTTCATAACTAAGAGGAAAATTTAGGATAACATCAGAAACCTTGAAACTAGCATATTGAACCCTATTCATGTTTTGACTGTGGAATTTATTTTTGACTTTAGATGCATCCAGCCTTTTTAAACAAGGTCTGCAACTGATATTTTTATCAAATAATTCTTTAGCCAGGCTGGTGAAATTTAAGTATTTCATTGATTCCTGTTTATGATAAAAATATGTTTAGCCATTAAAAGGCACAGAAAGATCTCCATAAACTGTGATTTGACTATAAAAGATAGCATTTTCTTTTAATAAATTTATACAATTTTTCTTTGAACAATGATGAACGTAAGAAGAGAACCAAGCAGAAATATAATATTTTATTTGCATTATTGATGTCTGACAATGGAAGCTAGCAGAAATTTTAGTTCAGAAGGTATAACTGTGTTTCCTACAGAGCAAGAATACCAAGTTTTCGGAACAATTAATAGCATTATTATTTTTCTTTATTGCAATAAGCTTGCAATTTTCTGATATGTAAACACTTATATGAAACTAGACACTGTGGTCATAATTTATTGCCAGGTGTGCATGTAGGTGTTATCTTTTTTATGAATTGCCTTCTCTAAAAGTAAAAACCAAAATAATCCCAATATCAAACCCCATATGCTAAATCTATGGAGTGCTGCATATGTTGCTTTCTCATATATTTTGAGTTACTTTTAAATTTCTGAGCTCTGTAAGAACTTGCTGTATTGAAGCATTTTATAGAAGTTACAGTAACTAGATTTACATGCCAGGTCTTTGAATTGTTGAATACTTATTTATGCATTATATACACACAACATTTGCAGAGGTTTAATGCACAATGACTTTTCATTTCTATTGTGCATAATGTAGTTTAGCTTTTCCAGAGATTTAGTTAGCAATTATGTTTAAAGGACTGATGTTAACATTTCTGAAACTTTATAATTTAATTAGTTGTCAGATTATCAAAAGGCATTGAGTTTGTGATAGACATTTAAATAAATGCAAAGTATATAGTCATGTTGATGGCTGTTATAACTATATTCTTTGCTTAAATTTGTACCTTCAGCTAGTCTCTTGCTAGATGACTTTTGTACATTCTAGTTTTCATCTTCATTTTAAAAAGATGAGGGGGAAAAAAAGCAAACTGCTACTCTAAAACTATTTCTTTTGATTGGTGTAACATGCCATAACAATCACATTAGATATCTAACAAAAAGATATAAGAAACCTTCTTTCCTTGTTTCTGCTCTTATTGAATTTTTATTAAATTGCTATAATTTTCCAGTGAACAGGTTCATCTACATCAAATGGATTTTCAGTCATGCATAAAAATCTAAAAGAGTTGTTTATGATTTTCAAAAGCATTATCTTTAACTGTATAAAGGCCTGTGACATCTGGAGAAAATATTAGAAGTAACTTACAGGGTGATCCCTCTGCAGATTGTTCCACATTCTCTGTTTAATTTCAGCAGCTACTTCAGGGTTTGTCTTTTCTAGTTTGGTTAAAATTTTGTTCACGTGGCTCCTAGTGACCTGCAGAAGGCTCTCCATAGTAGTCCAGAGTTCATTAGGTTTGGAGAGATCCAATACCAGAACTACAGCAAATGACCTATTAAACAGGCATTATATGGTCACATATATAGCACATGAGACAGTCAGCATTTTCATACAAAACCACACCTGTAGTGCAAATGTGAAGGTCTAACTGCCTAGACAGAATTAAATGTGACAGCAAAGCAAGATGGCCTTTAGGAATATTCTGCACTCTCGAGAAACCTTTCCCTTGTCTCTTGTTCAGAACTATTATTTTGGCAACTTTCAATCAAGCACTGTTTTTGGGGACTGTCTTCAAACAGTAAAATATGGAAATATCCTCACCCCCTTTATCTCCTTCCTGTATGACTGAGGATTTCTGGTGTTGTGCATCCCTGCCATCTAATAAGTCTACAACCCCAGACCAAACAATGTTAGCCAATGGCTATTCCCCGTATACCTGGGAAAGCTCCCTACTTTCATTATTCTTTTCTAGTATGAAAGGAAGAAAACCTGGTTAAGGACAATATTCTGTGTCATGGACTGTGACAATTTGTTGGAACCTTGAAAAAAATGAGAAAAGTCTTCTAAAAGATAAAAGAGTACTCATGACATCCTTAGCTACTACCAGACTTTTAAAGGTGGATTGTTGATGAGAAATGTTTCACATCTGAAGTCCTCTCTTTCTAAAACACTGCCTCCGAAAACACCAGCTGTATTTAACTGCATGTGTAAAGATCATTGCAAATGCAGTAATCTGAATGAATGCCATCATTCTATCCCATTCTAGCCTGACTTGAAAAAGGGGATTTCAGATCTGAGTGGTATTAGAACAGCTACAAAGCAAACTTAGTGTTCAATTTAATTTTAAAATGCTGTGGGGGAAGAAAAATCTGGTGAAAAGTCTCTTGATGAAACTGAATATAGTTTATGGAACTTTTAAATAACCAAATTGGCTGACTACAATGATGAGAAAACCAACAAAATACACTTATATTTGCTGAAATGGTAGAATTTTTATTGGCATGTTAAAATATTGCCTTGTGAACTGAAGTGAATTATTCTCATAGAACATTGCTATCCCAGCAAATAATCTTAAGATTCTCCACATCAAAAAATCCCTTATCAGTAAAAAAGGAAGAACATCCTGATGGAGATAGAGCTCAATTCATTTAATTTAGTCTGGGGCTGAAAAATTATACTTAATTTCTTCTAAGCTGTTTTAGAGACAAAGAGCTTCACATACCACAAGTGTTTTTATTCCCTCTGTCTTAGTCTCTCAGCAAATAATGGCATTATCTCAGTAGTCAAAACAGGAGCAAATGTACCCAATAAACACAATATCTCTCCTTTTTCTTCCCTACAGAAGTTAAAGCTCAATACCAATGAAATACAGCAATACATCATAATACAAAACTTCTCTTTTGATCCTCTTCTCCCCTTTCAACTCCCATCTTCCCTAACCAAAATAACCATGAAAAGTACCCCCTACCACCTTTGTCATTTCTTCATGAAACTTTTCATGCATCTCTTCTCCATATACTATTCATTACTTTAATGGATATTTAAGAATGGATACATTCTCTTAATTTGATCAAAATTTCGGTTTCCTTTTGTTTTCAAATAATCTCTCTGCCAGGAAATTACTTTTCATTAAAAGGAAATTTTGTCACAATTTTTGACCTTGTTTTTCACCATAAAATATCTGTTACAGAAAGAGCATCTATGTGTGCACCAGAAGTAGGAAGCAAGATTTTATTTTTCGTATGTCCCAAGTCTGGTTTTCTGCTCTTCACTGAGCATAAAGATATTATGTGTTCTCTCTTTCTGTATTTTTGTTCCATCTACTTAAGGCCAACCTACTTCCTCTACCTTTTGTTCAGATTACTTAGGACTTGTTTATTTAGGAGAGAAGCATGAAAAGGAAGACTAAAGCAAAGCATCATGGTATTACAGTGATTCTTGGCAAAACCCTGTAAATGTTCTATCTTAGACTTTGAAAGAGGTTTCCACAAAAAAAAGAGGTCTAGAGATTACTAATGTTTGAAGGAAAGCTCAAATTAACTCTGGAATTGTAATATTTACACTTACCTTATGTTGTGGCTAGTGATTGGTATTCGAATGAGTTCCACTAATGAGGTTCCACCACCTAGTTCCCAAAAATGAGCTACATCTTTAGGCTGCAAAAGAGTTTCTTTACGTTATTTTAAAGTGTGTGTATATATATAAAGATAAGGTAAATTGTACTTTATACTCACTGTATTGTGTCTCCTTGCCCGTCTTCCAAAAGTATATTCCAAGGCTAATGTTGGCTTTGGAGACTCTTCCCTAAAGGAAAAGTAACTGAATTTTGTTAAGATCCTCTACTAGAAAGAAAGGAAGTTAATTCTACAGTTACTAGATTGTATTTATTAGTCAGTTCAGAATTTAGCTTAGAGAGAGCAGTACAGAGAAGACACTTTTAGACAGGAGGTGTCAGCTACTGAAGACAGGAGAAGCAGCAGCACCAGCCCAAAGGAATGACTCATTTCAGCTAACACTGGAGAAGGACTGAAAGGGTCACCTGAAAGGTTATAATGAAGGGAAATGAGTTCATTCCTAAGTGATCAACCAGTCACAGAACACATCTGCATACATGTATTATGAATTATCACACAATATGACTGTTTTTTTATCTATAGCTGAAAACTGCTTCAAAATATTTAACACATACCTCTCAAGACATCGCAGTATGATAGTGGTCTTTCCCTGGAAATTAAAAACAAAGAGGAAGTCTGTCTTTAAAGCATAAAGTTGTATCACTAAATCAAATTCGTTTAACATTCCAATAATAAAGTACCAGAAAACTGCAAATGCATGTAACTATTTGCAGCCTTATAGTGGAAACTTAAGTCCAATTTTCAGTCAGAATCAAGTTACAGTACCATTATTTTAAGTATAAACTAATAGACATGACAAATATAGCAATAGGAACTGTACTTAAAACAGGTATTAGCGATCAATTAGACCTCTGTAATATGAGACCATGAGATATTATGTCTTAAAAATTAAGTGAACCTGAAAACTAATCTGAAAATACGAGACACAAATTATGTTTGAAAAGTGTAGAACTTATGATATTTAGATTACCCCGGTTTTGTTTCCCATAAATAATATTGATTTTTCCCAAACTTCCCCTGGCTTGACATCATCATCATTATCAGGATTTTCTCTCTTCTCCACTTCAGCTATAGCAAGATCCCATAAAGTATCGCTAGTTGGAAGAAAACACAGTAAGAAGAGAATAATTAGAGAAAACACAGACCGTAGGCCGCAATTCCTGAAAACATTTAAATGAAGGTTATTGTGGTGTAGATTACTATTATTTCACATCACCTGCTCTCTGTCGAAGTCCTTCAAACCAGCTCAAGTGACAATCCTCAATAACCCCAACAGCCAATTGTGGCACATACCGAGCACGTACCAGCCGTGCAGCAGGAAGCTTTGCTCGGGGTACATTTAACCACAGAATCACACAATCAATTAAGTTTGAAAAGACTCCTGAGATCATCTAGTCCAACCTGCGACCGAACACCACCAGACCGAGTGCCACGTCCAAGCTTTTCTTAAAACACCTCCAGGGACGTTCACTCCCTAACCCACCTCTTCCCCATATGGGCAGCCCATTACGGTACTAAGACACCTTTAAATGGTTGTGTGGCGTGTCAGGCTTTCCGCAGGAGCCTGCGGAAGGCTGCAGCCTCCGGAGCCGGCAGCTCCCGGCCGCCGGCAGCGAGCACGGCTCGGAGAGCTCGGGAGAGCTCCGGAACTGCGCTCGGTGTGCCGGGAAGCTCGGGCAGCGAGAGCTGCACACCCAGTTCACATGGGGTCCCTTACAGAAGTAACCGGACAAGGACCCTCGGCCCCGCTCGCTTTAGGGGTAGAGGCCGGAACGACCCGTTTTAAGCCCTACTTCCTTCCCTCCCTCCTTCCCACTCCAAGACGTCCTCCCCGGCCGCCGGCCCATTCCCCCAGGGCAGTGAGAGCGATCCCCTGTCTCCAGCCCGGGCACGGCTCCCGGTACCTGGCCTTGGGCATCGCTGTGCGGGGCGCGGGCCCGGCTGCCCGTGGCCATGGGAACGGCGCGGGGCACGCCGGGAGCTGTAGTTCCGCGGGGGGAGGGACGGGCGGCCCCGGCCCCGCGCTCGGCTCAGCCCGGCCCGCTGCCGCCCACAGAGGGAGGAGCCGTGTGGCGGTTCCACCGAGGGACCGCCCGGTCCCCTTTTCGAAGGACCCGCGGCTGCCTCTGTTTTCGAGGTTGCCACGCCTCGGTGCCGGTGCGAGTGTGAGGGCTCTCGGGGGATCTCGACTGTAAGCCCTCTTGTGGGGGGACAAAAAATACTCCAGCTGTGGAGGAAGCCAGGGATAAGTAAACGACGCCACCAGGAGTCTTATTTGACCTCGGCCTTAAGCACTGGCTCCTGATAAGCTCGTGGTCCCTCAGTGAGCTTTGTTTACAGCGGAGGGAGTGAAAGGAGGCCTGAGTAATTCCCGCTTCTTGGGAATTACTGTGTAACACACAATGAGAGTAGTTATTTTACAAAAATTATTGTGTAATTATTGTCCAGCAGGGGGCAATGAAGGTGGGTGAGGGACTGGAGCATTTCTCTAAGGAGGAAAGGCTGAGGGGGCTGTGCCTGTGCAGCCTCGAGGAGACGCGACTGAGAGGGAGCCTCGCCAATGTCTGTCAGTGCCTGAAGGGAGGTGTCAGAGGATGGAGCTGGGCTCTGCTCACTGGTGCCAGGAAACAGGGCAAGAGGCGATGGGCAGAAACCGATGCACAGGAAGTTCTGCCTGAACATGAGGAACAGCAACTTCACTGTGCAGGTGACCAAGCACTGGAACAGACTGTGCAGAGAGGCTGTGGAGTCTCACTCACCGGAGGTATTCAGGAACCATCTGGACACAATCCTGTGCCATGTACTCTGGGATGACCCTGCTTTAGCAGAAAGGTTGGTCCACTGTGGCCCTTTCCAACCTGACCCATTCTGTAATTCTGTGATTTCGTACTTAAGTCAAGGGGCATACAAAATACGACACTGTAACATAGAGGGGCTGGATTACTTCAAATAAGATTATCAAAAATCTAGTCCAAAAATTCTAGGCTTGGATTAGAAAGTAGGATTTAAAGGGTGCAGTAAAACAGCAGGATGACCCTGAGTATGAAAGGGGCATAGGATGTAGGTGAACCCGACAAGTCTAAACTGTCCTACATCAGAGAAGTGACCCAAAATCCAGGACAACAATTACAGCTCTCTTCTCTAGCTGAGGAGCTGCTTTCTATCTTGAGAGAGTGGAGACAGAAAAACCTGACTAAAATTATTCAGTTACCTGTTTGATCAAATCCAGGAAAGCAGCCTCATCCATAATGATTAACTTAGATTTCATTTTAACTGTTCCTTCTTCCTTACCGAAAGAAGGCTGATGTATCCTTCCTCTGACCCTAAGTAATGTTCATTCTTTAAGATTTTTTTTTCTAAATTTAGCTTGCATAATCACCCAGTTTTAGTTCCAGAAGCCTTTATATGGCTATTTTTGTCTTTTTTTAATTATTTCCAGGTTTTTACATGCATATTATCAGGAATTTGCTAACCTTCTATAGAAACCATGGTCTTGCTAATTAAAATCCAGAAAGAAACTTAATTATGTAGTGTTGTACACTGCAGATCATGCTGATGTCTGTCTAAGTTCACTTCTTTAATCAATTTCAGTTCAACAGAACATTTCTGGTGTCTTGGTCAATCTATGAAGCCAGGGCTGATCTGTAACCAGCACCTAGAGGTAGTAAAATCCCCTGGATAAAGCTGCTCTTGCTCTGCCAAACAGAGCAAAACTATGGTAGGAATTGCTTCTGGCACTATGACCTCTGCATTTATTGCTGCAACAGCAGGAGTATAAAAAGCAAAGTATTTTACAGTCATTTACTCACTGTCAGAGGTGGCAAATCTGGAAGATGCTGCAGTACACATGTGAGCACAGTGAAAGGGTGTGCAGTTAGTAAATGTACTGAAACCCAATCTGGAATTTAAATTGGAGTTTCCAGTATTTTATGTTTCAACTTTCTCTGTTTCTTTTGCCCTAATAAAGTGTAAAAAAACCAACACACACATGCAAAACTTTTTTTCCCCTAATTCATTATTACTGAGTTACTTATCATCTTAGTTAATTTTAACTCAAACTAACAGATTGCACTAAGCTGTATGGACTATTAAAACTACCTAAAGGTTTTAATACGTGGTGCATTCCTTTATGCAAGAATGATTTTCTTCCTTCAGAAGCCATTAAAACCTGTGAAAACTGGTAGTCTGACAAGGAATTCCAACACCAAATACCTACCAGCCTTCTTTTCATAGGGAAATATATGCTTTTATTTCAAATTTAAACAAAATTTAAATATAAAATAACAAAACCCATTCATTTTATGGATCGTATTAAAACCTTAAAGTTTTATCCTTTGCCTGGTGTGCTACAGGAGTAAATGGATCTTGCTTGTTCTAGAAATCAGCTGTTCTCTTGCTAATACTGCTGCTCAAAAATTGACACGGCAGAGTGAAGTTCAGGTAATATATTAATTTACATTGCATTCCAAATAGTCTTTTCAAAACAATGTGATTGTTTGTACAGACATTTACTAGTGATTTTTCAGTCATTGTCAAGCTCAGATTCATTGATCATTTACATGGATTGTTGATTCTGACCACTAACTCATAGCAAGCATGAAAGCTATTCAAAAGTTCATAGCAGAAGGTGAAGTCTACTTGCATGTATTAACATATTAATACCATCCTGATAGTATTCTTACAACCTGAGTTCTGCAAGCTTTGAGCATGGGAAGTTTTCCAGCAAAAGTCCCAGAAGCTGCTGCTCATTTGACGGCTCCCACAGTATCACTACTGCTGAGGTGAGAAAGGTCAGGTTCCTACCTGGGCTTTAGTCATGGATTAGGTAGCACAGTATGAATTTCTTTGATGGATGACTTAAGGTTAAGACCGAGATGCGGAGCACTCATGAGGCTTGGCCTGGTGGGAAAGGCAGAACAGATTATCTGCTTGGACTGTGAAATTTTCAGCCTTCCTGTCTTGCACTGTGTGGTATTCTTTAAGTAGCTCTGGAACTTGATTATCGTGGAGCAAGGCCTCGAGATATGTAGAGTTGTATTTGGAAGTGTGCTTGCATGTGAAAGAGACTCCACTTGTTGACCCTGTTACCTTGAAGGGAATTGTCTGCTGAGGTTACTGTCACTACAGAATCCTCACTCTTGCTAATCAAACTGGAAGCAGCTCCATTGTTTAACCCAGTGTTGTCATGGTAACTGTGAGTGCATTTATTTAATAAAATAACACAGCATTTCTAGTCATGTGACTACATGGGATTAATGGTGACCTATAATGAGCAGTTAGTAAGTCTGGAAAGTCATGCCAAAAGAAGGGAACTAATGCATGAATTGCTTCTGATGACAATGATGTAGGCACATACTGCAGCAGCAGAGCTTAACAAAAAAAAGCAAAGCGCTCTCTAGAGTCTCCTACCCAAAGGCAGGTAGGCAGGAAGGTCATACTCTGCTTCATAGACTGTACAGGGCTTTATAAAACAACTGTCTGTAATGTTGTTAATGAAATCTCCAAATGTGCACATCAGCTGTTTGTATTGTTTATCATGTAGTCTCAAATTCAATGAAGATTTCAAAAAGAACAAGCTCACTAGCAAAATACTCCACTTTTTTTGCCTTCTGATAACGGAAGGTGATCTGCAACATTCATTTGAGACTGGGCAATTAGGAAAGACTACTAGTTGGAGTATTCCAGGTTGTCAAAATTTCATGATTACAAGAAGACTTTTGTGTTTGTAAATTGAAGTTTTTAATTACATTTGAGAAGCTTTATACTGTGACCTAACTGATGCAGTAACGTGTGCATTTGTAAACACCCCTCAAACCTGTTAATTAAGTTATTAATTAATTAAGAAAGTTATTATTCTGCTGATTGCAAAGGGGTTTTCATTCATAAATGGATTTCACCATGAAGTCTGTATCATTTCCCATGGAGTGCAACACAAGAAGTAATGCCATAGGTCTCTTGTAGCTCCCAAGATGCTTCCCTGGATGATGACAGGGGACTGGCTGCCTAGGAGGTGGTAAAACCTCCTGCTGCTGTCTCTGCCCCATGGAAAAAGAAGGGTCTAGTGCCTCACCCACCACCAAAGGGTGGGAGTTACCAGGAAGCTCTTTCCACCTTGCAAAAGTGAAAGCATCTGGATATAGTACATGTGTTGTTTGGTTGTAATTTTCAAGAGGAAGCCTATGGCCTATGGTACCATTTATCAAGTGGTGCTTGAGTCCTGTGGACCTTAGTAGCTGTGGAAGGACTTTGAGAGCTTTCTAAAGAAAGCCAGCTTGCCTGTCTGCCTTACCCCTTTTTAAGACCATATTCTCTGCCTGGTCTGTATTTCCTTCCAATCTATTTTAATTCTTTAGGAGGATACTCCCTACTTTTAATAGAGGAAAAAAAGCTGAACATATCTTTTCTCTCAGTATGAGCATTTGAAATGTTTAAAGAACATAAGACTGAGATTTTTCATTGTGAAATTGCTTCTGTTTTAAGTAATAGTCAAACAAAAACCAATAAGGACTGGCTGTAAGGGATTAATGATCCATGATCATTAACATGAGTTGAAGTGGAAGCTGTAAAATGTCCATGAACAGTGATTTATGTTTGAGTACCTTCATGGTTGTACTTAAATTATCTATTAAGAGTATGGTGCTGATCCATTTCAGAGCCTGCAGAAGTGGTTTATTTGCATTGGAACAAAAAAGAGGACAAGAAAAGCAATGGATGTAATTTCTATGCATTTGACCTATGTAGCACTGAGGTTTACACCTGAAAAAGGCAACTGGAAAGTGCTCCTAGGTCCAATAGTGCAGATGCAGCATCATATCTTCAGTGTGCAAGAACATTTAATTAGTATTAGAATATGAAATGTATAGATACAAATTAAAAACAAGAAGTAAACATTATTCTGACTCAATGTATACACATTATACATATTGTACATGGATTTTAGGTCTCCAAGTTTACTGACAACATTTTAATCAATGGTTTTCTGTGGTGTTCTTGTGTTTTGAATTGTGAGTCATTCTTGCCATCTGTATTATATTATTATTCTGGATTAAAGGAGAAATTAGGTACAGAGTCTTGTTTAACAAAACTGTACTAAATATAGTGCCTATCCAATTAAGATTTTTTTCAAAAGGCTGGAGCATAAGTTTATTTAGAAATTTACGTGACTAAGGCTGAAGATTTGCCAAGTAAAACAGCTGTATAACAAAGGCTAGAGTGTATCATGAGAATGCTCTTTAAATTTGTAATAGTTACATGATGTGCTTATGTATTTGGGTTTTTTTTCAAAGGAGAAACAATTATACACGATTTATTTCTTTTAGTCCCATGATACTTATATAGCAAATAAGGATGGTTACTGGAAGTGGAAAATATTTTGTATTTTTTTTCTAATACAAAAATGCCTTTTTAAAATGAAAGTTATACAACTGATTTAATTTTGAAAAATAGAGATGAAGAATTGAAGACAGTTTGGTCCCTGAGTATATATATCTATAAAACTGTAAGATCTGTACCATTGTTTCCAATGACACTTTTTTCCATCACTATAAACAGATACATTTTTTCTGAGCTGTAGGCACAGGCAACCCCCAGTAAATCATAACCCTTAAACTGATGCATCATCTTTCCAATTCAGGCCACAGCTTTAATTAAAGGGCTACTCCTGTTATATGCAATTGAATGAATGCAAACCTTTCCACCTTCCTTTTGTTTACAGAGCTGCTTATGCTCTACATCTTGCACAACAGAAGGTTTTCAGTCCACGTAGAAACCCTCTAACAAGGATGCATTATCATGATACATAATCCTTTCATAACAAAGTGGGACATTTAGTT